CCATGTTGCTAACAATGCACAACTCACAAAGGAGCTCTGCGATTTCAGAAATCATTACGGCATCCGTGATGACTTCGAGTACCAAAACTTGTTCTGTCGCCGCCTTGCAGAAAACGATTTCAACTGTCGGCAGTTATTCTATGCCAACAGCACCGTCAAAGATTTTGTTGTAAGTTGAGTGTACGCTTTAATAATTGGTTTTACTTTTTTATTCTAGCAACGTAACATGGCAAATGTGTCGATACAAAATGCGGGTATGAAGATGTTCAGCCGAAATGAACAAAAAGTTGAAGCAACACGGTTTCGCCTTTCTCAGGAAGGTATCCGTCACCTTCTTCCTTATATGGATAAACAGATAGTACGTACATTATCCCATTACTTGCTATTTTGGGACTATTGCTCTTTTTTGAGCTTTTGTCGATACTAAACCTTTCAGTTCCGAATTTGTAAGGAATCACTTGTTCGTAGCTATTTGCAAACAACGGTACATCGAATTTAGGTTAAAATCAACCAAGATGACATGCTAAAGATTTTGAAGACGGAAGAAACAATGATACCGCTGGAATCTCTTCAATGTAAAGACGCCATACGAGCACAAAGCCCAGGAAGCCTTGTTTTATACACGGACCGCGCGGATCCTGTTTGCACATGGGTAGTTCCAACAAATTTTACTCACTTTTACGTAAAGACCACATTTTGTAAATCTCATTGATTATTATTCTAATTTCTGTATTTTTGCGCCGAGCAAGTGTAAAGTTCAGAAGCGGGAGTTACCTCTTTCTGCTACGATTTCGTAGGTTTATATATCTTCAAGAATAGCTTTGATGCCTTTGTTTATAATTAGAAGACAATGGGGTTCACAATGTGGAAATTGATTTGTTGTTTAAAACGTATATTATCAGAAGAAAGTGAGTCGCGTCTTGAAATACTAGTTAATTAATTTGTGAATGCTACTAAATTTAGCTTTTTTGCGTTTAGCTATCAATCTTGTTAAAAAAGATTGATAGCTAAATGCAAGAGAACGCGATGTTCCTTCATGTGGCATTCGCATTCTAACCATGTCCCTCCACCTTCCTATCGTAAGGGTTTTTCTTCTCAGGTTGGATACCACACAGTAGCACCCTATGTGGGGAAAGAAGAGCGAGTCCACATGTTGCGCATGATGGGAGTCGACTGCTCGGAAATCGAAGAAATGATGAGATCAAAACGGAAGCAGAAGGTTATTTCCTTTTTTTTTGCCTCGCCTTGGGTATAAAATTCTTTTTATTTAGGCAGCAGCAGATCGAATAATTGCAGAAACTGAAAGGACCGCTTTAACGGATGAAGTGGCTAATGCCGAAATAGCAGAACGAAGTCCATCTGTCAGGGAAAAAACTACTGTTGATGAGGTTAGGGGTGAAAATGAATAATTTTTTTTTATATTGTATTCCTTCTGGAAATCCCATTTGATAGGATTGTCTGTATTATTTTTTTTTGTGTCCATCACCTCATAAGTCCTTACTTGTGAATCCATCGCTGCCAAAATTTGAAAGTTCCTAGTGCCATTTGCTCTAATTGTCGGTTTTTAAAATGGTGTTGGCTCTCTATTAGCTTTTATTCCTAAGTTCGCTAAAACTCTGCGTCCATACACTTTGTCTCTAGCTGTTGCTTTTGAATTGTTTTACATTAATTGTTTCCAACTGGTTTGTTTGGTTTGTTGTTGCAGTGTTGCATATGGATTTTGTTGGACATTTTTGTTTGCTCGTTGCATTAATCAATAAAGTTTTGTACATTTGATGATCGAAAAGTTTTTGATGTTATTTTCATCATGTATTGATCAGAAGTACGTAATTTGTTTCTCTCTGACTGAAATCATTCTCGCTCTAAGCTGATAAATAGTTCGTATACTCTGTTTAACCAGACTCATTTTCTTTCCCAAAATGTTAGTTAACATATAAATTGACTTTGCGTCTCCCTTACGATCTCAACAAGCTCATATCGTGCTTAAATCTTGTTGTTTCTAGACAGTGCGACTACAGCTAGTTTTATTTGGGCATGCTTCTATAAGAGCTTGAAAGTAAGCTGTTTAGATTTTTGCTTATGAAATAATGGAATAGGAAGTAAAGACCTATCAAGATTCTACTGAGCCTTCTGCATTCGCATGTACAAATTTTTCGTTACCCTGTAAATTACGCACGGACTGTATTTGATGATGTATCTTAAGGAATGAGAAGAGAGTTGTTGGGATGCGGATTGTCAGAAGACGGTCAACTTGGACTTGGCAGTCGGAGTGCGGCGTGTGTAAAACTTCCAGAGCAGATCGGTGCGTACTTTTGCTTTACATTATTGTTTCTTCTTCCTTGATAAGACTTATTGGTTTTTTGACCTATCTCTAGCTAGGAGTATATTTGAGTACAAGCACGTTTCCGGGCATGTCCCTTGCGAGTGGTTTATTAGCAATGGAGGAATTTGTCAAGTGATAGACAAATAGTGATAACTGATAAACATGCTTGTTTGTAACTCAACCACATGAAGGACTCGAGAAAACGCTTTTTCTGATATCATGAAACAGTGATTCCCTTTTGATTGATTTCTTCTGATTTCCATACTTGTTTTCACCTATCTATGGCAATATGGTTTTCCAAGCATACGTTAGTAGCATGAGCCAAAAACTGTCATTAAAGCTTTTGTTGAGCTGAAATTTTAAAATATTTTTTTCTGTCTCTGTAAACTCTAAATTGTGTGAACTAAGCTTATTAATGTTGATCTGGCAGCAATTTGTTATGTACTGAATAATTAAGTATGCATATTCAAGTCAATTACTAACTTTCCAAATACATAATTAAATTACTCAGTGCATTCATTCATGTAAGAAAAATGTCCCATGTACCTGGCATCTATTTTATTAGTTGGTGCTCCACTGGATGCTGCGGGTACAGCTGTGATGAGCGTTGCATGTGGCGAGAAACACACTATATTATTAGCTGAAGATGGTAAGATGTGGAGTGTTGGAGGTAATGAAGATGGTCAGCTAGGAAGGGGAGGACGCGGACCTGGCAGCTTTACCATCTATCCTGTTTCTTTCAGTGGTGGTGTGAGAATGCTACAGGTATGACAATCTGTATATTTTCTCCATATAATTTAATAAATTGTGCTTCATCTAGGTCGCAGCGGGTCGGGCACATTCGTTAGCAGTAGCAGAAGATGGTAGATTATTCGCTTGGGGTAGTAATGAGCACGGTCAGCTGGCAATGCCACGCCACATTTCATGCCAAGAAACACCGAAGTTGGAATTTATGTTCATAACTTTTATAAAGCCTCTATCTGTTGCACTAAT